TCGGATTATCGCAGTCGCGACTGCGCGACAAAAGCTTCCTGTGCAAATTGAACGGATAATTGCGAGCCGTAACTGTAAACACACATACACAAGAATCCCGGCTAAGAGGGGGGAACAAAACGTTAACAGAAATCAGTTACCAATTTAATGGCCAAAAGCATACTTGACTTTGGTTTTAATTTGTAATGAATAGAGTTTGTTTTTTTAGAGCAATCGTTGGTTAAATCGAATGGCTTAGTTATTGATTTTATCTTTTTGGCATTTCTTTGTTATAAACTTTACTTTAATCGTTTTTTCATTAGCTCTCGTAAATATAATATAACATAATTTCATTCAGAAGCTTGAAGCGCAGTGAAGGAGCCATTTCCGACCCTATAAGTCATATATATTCTTGATCAGCATCAACAGCGGAATCGATCTAGCCATGTCCGGGTAAAATTAAATTTTTTCAAAATTTTTTCAAATTTTATAAGGGGTTACATCGTTAAAATTGTTAAAAATTGACAAAATTTTAAAATTTTTTAAATTTTATATGAAGTATGCAGATTTATTAAGGTAACAAAAACTTGCATAGAACTGCTTTCTGAATTAAAATCAATGCATTTTTGGCTTAGCTATGAGTTTTTTAAACTTGGATTTGTTGAAAAAATTGTCATATAAAAAAATTAAAATAATATCGACTTAAAAATGGTATTGTAGCTTTAGTCAGAAGTTTGTAACTTGTGAAGGAGTCATTTCCGACCCTATAAGTCATATATATTCTTAATCAGCATCAACAGCGGAATCGATCTAGCCATGTACGGGTAAAATTACATTTTTTCAAAATTTTGAAATTTTTTTAAGGGGTTACATCGTTAAAATTAAAAAAAAATTGCCAAAAAATTACTTTTTTGTTATTTAAAAACTTAGTATACAGATTTGTTAGCTTTACAAAAAGGAGCATAGAAATGTTTTCCGAATTGAAATTAATGTATTTTTAGCTTAGTTATGGTATTTGAAAAATACCTTAGACTTAGCAATTTATTGACATCACTTTTCCATATAACATCCCTTCAAACATCTTAATATTTAGGCAAAATAATACACCATTTTCCTATAAATAACAATAAAACAGTATTAATAACCGTGTTATCCTTGACTTGAAGTCTTTTAAAACCTCAGTTAAAATCCAAGAAAACCATAATGAGGGAATTCCCTATACAGAACCCAATTAAGTAAGCACAAATCTTCGGCAATTAATAATCGCTTGACAATGTTTCCCTGCTAGCGAGGGTGGTCTGAACTCTGGAATTTTCCGCTTTCCCAGCAGTTGAAGGCAAGTCTCGAGTGGCCTCAACTGTTTGTAAAGTGATATGAGCACATTTTCCTTCAACAATCGAATTCCCTGCTCATCCCGCTGCCTCCTAATCCTTGGCATGGACGCTTATCGCCCGCGCCCTGGACGCTAATTTGATGAGTCATCTGTGCCGACTCCGACTGCGGTCCGATAGCCATCTGCCCAAAGGCCCGGAGGCACCCCTTCCATGGCCCATTCACCTGAGTTTCCCTACCTGCTCGATTGGGCATTGTCGTAAATTTAGGGTTTGTCATTGAATGGGAGTGTTTAGGCATCATCTAGGGACGATATGTTTGTGTTTGCATTGAGTTTTCGTAGAAATTGTCGCAAGAAATGGTAAAAATGTTCAAATGTTCAAATGGGAAAAGCGGGGGAATGTCAACACACACAAAGGATGGATGGGTTGGGGGGAGAGAACTAGATGATAATCGGATCGTGGATCGTACCCTTGGGTATCTCATTTCTCCATAAAAATTGGTAACAATGAAGAGCCATTTCTCCATCTCTCTTCCCCGGCGCTGGTCGCTGCTTTTTGGGAACGTAATTACTTTGATATCCGAGCCAGGAGGCATTCCCAAAACTATATCGCTTCGAAGCGAAGAATCCCATTTACACGGTTCATCGATCCAAGGGAAAGGACTTGTGTTGCCGCCGGTGAAAGTCGGATATCGGTATCAGGGAATGGAGCAGATGTCTGGCAGGATAGCCTGCCGCCAGGAAGGATCCTCGGGGTATCATTTTGAGTGGCATTTTAGAAAAGGAAACGCATTTAAGGATCTTTAATTAAACATTAAACATTAGCCATACGTAACGAAACACTTTTCGGTGCATTAATCTAAGTTACATCGTCGGAATTGTTTAATATTTATAGATTCTAATATTATGTATAACTTTAATAAACATAATTTTTAGGACTCCATTCACTTAAGAGTTCCGTAGATTTATCAGAACTTTCTCTTCTTCTGACACAACTAATATAAAACACATATCATATAATTTATAGTTATGTTCTGCCTAAAAGTATTAATTAAATGAATAAAAAAGCTTAGTTTATTACTTGTATAATATTTCATTTGATATAATCATATAAATATTTATATTCATGTGAATATCCCCCTGATAGCCTTTCTCAAATTGCCAGAAATAAAAATCCCAAATCAATTTAGAATTAAACATTAAATCCAGCATGAATGGCACAGACCTTCTCATGGCGGCACCTTGGAATCGTTTTGGGAATTACTCTCTAATGCGAATCCAATCGGAGAGTCCATGTTTGTGAGTCATCTGTGGTCGCAATTCGGAGAGTTGGAGTCAAAGTCAGAGGAGTTTCATTGGCCATTCGGTTGGCTGCCCCCGGAGCTATCATAAAATGCCGACATCGCCGAAAGGAAGCCGCGACTCCCAGGCGAAGTCAGGCGGGGATTGCGGAAGCGGAGGAGGACTAAGGTCGGTCGCCTACTTACTCCAGAGCTGTCAGCTTATCATTTCGCTTTTAGCGCACACCAAACTCTGCGGAAAGTGTGTCCTGCGACGGTGTGATGCGGTGTGTGTGTGTGTGTGCCTGGGTGCACTTGGGAAAATTTTGAGTAGGTTTTTTATTAAAGAAATCATGCATCAAAGTTTGAACCTGATAAAATAGGAGACACGTAAAAAGATTCTTTGAAGAGTAATAAATATTTAATTAACTACTAATATGTATATGTACAAATAATATATTTCATAAGCTCCTTTTGATCTATAAAGGAAGACATTTTTAGGATACATTTTCCCTCCCTAGTTTTTACCAGTGTCTGGTTTGGAGGCTCATTATCGGAGTGCGCTCAATGGAATGTAATGGTGGCCCCGTCTTCAGTCCCGCCACTTGACTTGGCCCTCGCTCGCTCATCTCCGCCATCATTCCCCCATTCTGTGGTTCCCAACTCTTGGCCCGCATCCCGCATCCTCTGATCCACCTGGAGAGCAGCTTGCGTGCTGGAGCGCCGCTGTCTCCGCTGGCATTTCGTGTTATCCTTCAGCTCAATTTCGGCTACTTTTGGATGTCCCCCAGAGAGTGAGTGTACCAGTCGGTGTGTGTGTGGATTGCATTGCATGTCGCATGTCGCACTCGAACTCAAAAAACCCAAACCCAAACGCTGTGTGTCTCCCCGCGTCCGTCCGATAAGGTTTTAAGTTATGACCTTTTAAAATGTCCAAATGCGGCGATAACACGTGATTACTACAAATGTATCCGAAGAGTGCAGCGGATCAGGATGCACCAGTGCCCTTACGGGACGCAGACGAGGGGAGGATTGAGAGAGAAATGGGTGCCTTGGCAACGGACAACAAACTAACAAATGAAATCCTAAATCACACCACACTCCCGCTGCTCCCACTACCTGGAAGCTTCTGTCCATCATCCAGTGGGCCTCCAGGACACAGGATTCCTAGTCCCGTCCATTGAGTAGCTGTTCATGCGAAGGAATCATAAATATCGATCAAAACGTCAACGTTTTATCTATTCCACAAATCGATTGTACACTGCGGAAATTAAGGTAAGCGACCTTTGGGAACTAGGGTTGGGTTATAAAGATATTATATACAGATTATACAGATTTTGATATGACATTTAATAGGTCATTATGTAAAATGAAGAGTATCTTTTTCTATAAATAATATTGCCTTTTAAAAGAGAGAAGCATTCTACAGATACTTTTTATGATCTCTTAATCGCTTTTACAGGTCTTTATGTAGAATAGAAAGTATAATTTATAATATACAAATATCAATGATATATGTACATTTGATAACACATTTCTCAAAAACTTTAACAGCGCTTCATTCGAAACCATTTATTATAAGTAAAGTTTAGATACATAATTACAGACAAGTTCATTATCGGAACATTACCTTAACACTCAAAACATATCTGATGATAGACTGCTTTTATTACATTTATTACACAAAAATGTTGTACTAAAAATTCATATTAAATCTAGGTAATAAAATCTTATCAAGATTATGTGAACATGCCAAGGAGAACCCTTCCTTACCAAAGTTCCCACATTGAACACCTTCCCAGAGAATGCATCCCTGGTCACTGTGCTCCGCTGTGCTCCATTCACCATGTAAAGACCTCGCGTCCAGGGGCACAAGGAAAGGACTGTGTGGGGTTGGGGGTCGATCACTTTGTAAATTGTTGGGCCTTGCATAATTTAAGCATAATTCTTATTTTATTTTTGCCCTGTCCCTAAGTGTGTGTATGTGTGTGAAGGCTCCCAGGAATTTCATCTTTCGCTGGCATATGTCGATTGCGGCCAGATATCCGTCGCTACCCGACAAAAATGCTCCAAGGGATTCTCAACTCCATTGCTGCACTGCACCGGACTCCATAGCGATCCGCTCTGGTCTGCGATACCCGCTGGCTGCTGATTATTATAAGAGGGGGCCGGGACATATAGATGGCTAATAATAACAATAATAATATGCGTTCGCTTATCAAAATTGACGTCAGATCTTATTGATATGCATCTGGATGCAGTGCAGCGAACTTTTTGGAGAGGCCACAAAGGAAAATCGTGTCAGGGAATCGCTTGGGCTTAATTGAAGCGTTATTATGCGACTGTCACATACACGCACATATGTATGCAAAAAGGTATGCCCCCAAAGTCCAAGTCCAAGTCCCAACCCAAACCAATCCCTGACTGGATCCATGCTGCGCCTGCGCGAAACCTTCGCTCACCTTCGCTCACGTTTGACAGATGCCTCAGAATTTTTAAGCACCGCAGGCCATCTCGGAACTTCTGCCACGGCAGCCGTCTTTTATTAATCAGCAGACTGTCCCGGGTCCCGGGTCCCGGGCTACGGTTGCGAATATTATTTATATCGAATTTAATAATAATTCTTGAGCCGCTGCCGCAGTTGCTTTTGCTGTTGCTGTTGCTGTTGCGTAGGTTGCTGCAGCCGCTGCTCTTGGCCAGTTTGATCAGCTCAGAAATTTGCATTGATCGACGTTGCAGATATGGACAAGGTCTTTCACTGAGAGAAAAAAGAATACGAAAAACATTAAACGAGAGAAGGCGCTGGGTGGCTTATCTCGGGAGAAAGTAGTTCTCATTCAAAACTCGCTTGCCTTGGCTAAGTCAGCACCGTATTTGTCTTGACATTCCGTGTAACGATCGATTGCGTTGACAGCTAATTTGTTAACTGGATCAAATAGATACAAATCGAGGTGAGTTAAGGAATTTCCATCAAATGTTCAAGCCACCAATTAAATAATATAAACTCCAATCAACTCGAGTGGCTACTTGGTTATATTTAGATATTTGTACTTACTAATGTCAGTAAGATCTAGAATATATATAGAATATACAGCTTGGTTATTGAATTGATGAATATACATATATAGAAACCAGGAATCACCAACGACTTTTCCTCTAGTTAATATAAATTACCTTGATTACATCCATTGTTTGTCTTAAAAATAACATTGTTAGAACTGGACCCGAAGATCCTACGATCTCCTTTTCTGTTATGGTCTAAGTAGCTTAAGGATAACTTGGTAATATCCTAATTTATCAGGTTATCCACTGACTGGCTAAGAAAATTAATTCTTAGCATTGATTTTTAACCAAAATCGAAGAAATTTAAATAAAGATGAAGTCTATAAAGTCAAAGATATAGGTACAAGAATTAAGCTTATAGAACGAATGGTATATATACAGCGATCTATAATTAAAAAAAATTACAGATTTATTTATATGAAATTAATAAAAAATCTCTTTACATTTTCCGATGGTTCTAAATACGAAAATTGGTTAATTTTCCGAATTTGCAATACAATTTAAATGTAATATTCAGAATTACATATTTATATATGTATTTATATATCATACAAGCTTTTATTATCATTGGTTTTCATCACAATTCTCAAATTTTATAACTTTTTAATTGTTTCGTTGAGATTTTTGAACAAAATGGTTTATAAATATCCCCGAAACTCTTACAGTGCACCAAGACAGTCGAGACATCGCTGGGATATCGAGATGTGAAGATGTGGAGATGCTGCTGCTGCTGGGACCGCTTATGATGAACGATCTCGGACGTGGGGGCGGTGGAGGTGGTGGTGGAAGCTGCGGCGGTTGGCGGTGGCCATTCAACTCCATATACTTTACTTTCGCCCGGGTGAAAAGTATGCGCCGCCCTTATTAGCATGCCGCGGACGTTACAGCGGCGAAAAGTGGGTTACCCTGCGCGCCTGCGCCTGCGCCTGCGCCCTGTCCTGCTCCCCTCTGGCTTAATGTGCCGTTTTGTTAAATTGCAGCGTTAAGAATTGCGCACATAAAGCATTTTGTTGTCAAACTGATTTCTGATCGTACATAATTTTTATCTTGATCCAAATAAGCCTTACACGATCAGAACGCAGCTCTCCCCATCTGGGTCTCCCCTAGGGCCTCGAAAACCAGAAAACACAGCCGGGGCAACACACTGGACACCAACATTGGCAAAGGCATCCACATCGTTAATATATGCATGCGTGGTCAGAGGCGATATATACACATATATGTATTCTGGCCAGCAAGCTACGAATCTCTGCTACAAATGAGTCTTGGCCATATGCAAAATGTATCAAAATTATGAGCGTATTTCCCAAAAGAAAAAACATAAATACTTATGGCTTTTGGGCGTTTCAAATGTTTTGCCTTATTTGTCGCTGCGTTGCCGCCCCGTCGCCCACAAAAAAAACGAAATATTAAAAAAGGAACCGCCGAAAATGGCTAAGTGGCCGGCACTTAAGTGCACCATAAAATTCGAAACGCATAAATCATCCCCAAAATCCACATAATAATCGGTTAAATTGATGTCCGAAACACGAGTCGGCGATAACAAAACTATGACTTCGTTGTCTGGGACTCGGCTTTAAATTGACACAAAAAATCAAATCAACTTTTTATGGCCATAGTTATGAAGTCGGAGTGTTTTATTGTCCATCGTTAACTTTCGAGAATATCAATTTGGACCTTAATATTGTTCCAGGCGCTCCATTGATTATGCGATAACTATCAATAAAAATATAAATAAAAACTTCAAATGCCACGATGATCCACAGCTATTTCAAAAACCATAAAAAGCTGAGGGAATTATTAAAGTAACAAGTCTAGTATTTCCCATTACGAAGACATTACAAATTAAGACTTTTATAATTGCTAAATCGAAAAGGGGAAGCCAATAAAACATAAGCTAGAGTGGGCTTAACTTTAAAGACTCTGATTTCATGGGAGTTTCAGCTTTGTTTAATATTAATAAATTGATTAAAATATACTTTTCCCTTTTCATTGCAATCTACTCTCAGTTTTATTAAATAAACAACAAAATACTTGCAACTTTCTTGGCCATATATTTATGAAAGTCTTAGCTCGTTACTTCTTACAAAATACTTCCAAATATTTACACATAAATATTAATTTTGGGTATTGTGCTTCGCTTCCTTGACCCAGTTAAAGTAAAGAAAGATTCGAATATATATATTTCACAAAATTATGCTTCATGTTTGCCTTCAACTGCCCTGAACTTCCCTCCCACCTGAGCGGAGGATGGGGCACATAAATTGGCTCTCAATATCCACAAAACGACAGTAAACGGTCATTTTTATCGAAATAATTGCTTTTATTTTTGTTGTTTTTTGGCATTGGCAGCGAAAGTTTTGATTGCGTTCCGCCGGCGTTAGCTGGGCCGGGAATAATCCACTCCATTTCATTACGAGATCGGAATGGTTACCGAGTGGAGCGGAGCGCCCGAGGGCCGGGCCAAACGAGCCTCCTGACGACTGTTGTAATCCAGGTAATGCAAGGGACTGGAACTGCATCCGAGTGAGTGTGCTGTGTGTGCTGTGTGTGCTGATTGTGCATACGCACGAAATCAATAAATAAAAGCGGCCAGAAATTGCCCGAACCCAGAGATGTGGACCTTGTGGAGGCCCACGCCGCCCTGCCTCAATCTGGACTCCAGATGTAGCTCCATTCCAGCTTCAACTTGGGATTCTGGCGACCACTGATGCGCGCTCATAACTCATTTCATTATTGTTTTGACATTTTATTTATTGAATGCGAACAGGCAGCGCGCGAAGACGTTGCTTTTCCTGCTGCCTTACCCTTTCCCTTTCCCATTTGTTTACTTCTCCGGATCCGTGAATCTGTTCTTTTATTTTTGTTTTTTTGTGCAAATTGTTAACGGGCTTGTTTCAGTTTTCGGGCCATGAAATCAATGCCTCTCTACCAATGACGAGTGTGCCTCTGCATGTGTGTGGTCCAAACAAAAGACTTAGGCAACGAACTTGGGGCCAAAGAAAAGTGTTTCAAGCAAACAAACGAAATACTTATGGAAATGTTACAAGGCAACAAAACAAGACGAAAATTTACATAAATTGCCCTCAAATCAATTTAGTTAGCAAAGAGAAAGAGAGACTGAGGGCAGAGGGACCGGTTTTCGTATAGCTTTTATGAGCAATTCTCTTAACCTCCATTCCGGCATTGAAGTATCAATTAATTATGCCAGTCGAGAGAGTTTTCAATTAGATTCCCTCCATTAAGATCGCATTCCAAATGGGAGCACTCCACTCGGTACTTCCCACGCCCAAGAGCCCCGACCTTTATTGAAAGTGCAGCCATCGATTGCGATTGCCAAATGCCAAATGGATGACAATTAATACACACCTCGGTGCACTTCCTTCGACCTGATAAATTGCCCTTGCTGCGGAACGCATCGATACGAAGGCAGAAGTTATGGAAATTAGTTTGCCGCCGAGAGCTAATGGAGTCAAAACGCTTATAAAACTTATATGCCGCAGCAGCAGCAGCTGCAACTGCAACTGCAACATCGTGGAATATGACAATATGGCTGGAAATTAATCTTGCATAGAGCCGGAGCAACAAAGTCCATGTCTAGGACAGAGAGAGAGACTCCGTCTAGGCAGGATGTGGCTCGCCATTGTCGCCCGGTTTCCGAGACTCGGCCCCAGAGACTCTCTGAATGTGAACTTGATTATGTTTTATGAGACTCAGTGCCGATGTTGCAGTTGCAGTTGCGTTGCATGCAGCAGATGCTGCCGCCGCTGCAAATCCTCCAACTAAGTTGCATCTGTACGCCATTAGATGTCGCCCATAAATTGTGGTATCATTTTTTATATGCACTTTGGACCGGCCATCTAAATGACCCAAGAAAAGGGATCGCTTCCCTTTTTTTCGCGTTCCTGGTTCCGCATGCCTTGTGGGCGTTAATCTGTTTGCAGTTTTTTTTTCTTCTTTTGATTTGATTATTCAGTTTCTCTCATTTATGGCTTCAAAATGTAGACAGTATTTGGGAATCTATAGAACATTTTATAATATATAGAAAAAACTATTATAAATTGTATATTAACTACAAAGCTAAAGCTAGGAAAGTAGTATATTTTTAGGCCTTTACAGGGTATTATAATATAAGTCAAAAGTTCTTTACGCTGTCAAGGAGTAATTTCCGACCCTATAAATCATACACTCCTGTTCATAATTATACGACACCTATAAAATTTTTGTTTCAGCGGTCGTAGGAGAATGGAAACACACAGTAGATCAAAATAAAGTATGCCGAATAATAGCCCAAGGAGTTGTGCACAAAATGCGCCATTCTTATCCTTAATTGCATCACTCGTTTTCAAGTAACGGTAAAAAAAAGCACACACGCCTTGATTTAGGCTACCCGGAAATTGTTTCAAAATGATACGACACATTTCAATTATTGCGGCTAAAGAGGAAGGTTTAGTGTTTATTGGTTTTTTTATAATTTTGTTAAATATTTTATTCATTTTTTAATAAAATGCCGCATGGTAGCTTTTTAAGCGAAGAAGAGAAGGGAAAAATTAAGGCGTATAACGAGTCTGGCCTTAATGTTAGCCAAATATCCCGACTGATGGGTCGAACACGCTGTGTTATTACCAACTTTTTGAAAAATATGGATGGGTACGGTGTCA